AGCATTTACAGCACTCAGATAGTCAGATCTCCGGATATACACTTTTGATACCTAAGTGATTTGTGTAAACAGTCCACTGTAACAGTAAAAAAAAAAAAGGATATTGAGACAAKGGTTGGCATAAACGGGGGAAATACGTTTGGCGAATTTATACCAATGTATACCCAAAACAGAACGCTTTAGATCGTAAATCTATAAAACGTTTGGGCGTAATATATCCTCTCATAATAGTACGTTTGGGTGGATTTTTTTCTTTGCATAAACAAACATATTATAATACTAAATCTGAGCCTATTAGCAGCATTACCCAAAAGACACCACGAGGAGGTTGGCTCAATAAATTATTTGTTTATACTGCACCCAAACGGGTTATGATCGGTATAAACATGTGCTAAGGTTAATAGTAAGGCAAGAAGTTCACGGAGTAGTACGAATTAGGAACTAGGAAGTCCGGTGGTTAGTGCATGTGTGTGTCAACTGTCAACTGCAAAGTATATAATATATAATACAGATACTTCAAATATATATTTTTGTTAAGGGGACGCTACAGAGCACAGTATACTATCATATTGTGTTTCATTTATTTTATTGACTTGATTGATTGYTATAATGTTTTGCATGTTTGCATTTTTAAAAGAAAAAACTTTTCCTACAACAATCGGATCAGCGGCAAATTGGTCAAGGTGTRTACCTCGCTTTATAAACTAATCGACCGAGATGGATATCCGTCTATACGTCTATGAATGCTTTGCATATTTTTGAACGTGATTGAAACTGCTCTCGAAATGTTCCAAAAATCCCTAAAATCAATCTTTGAACATCTTGTCGAAATTGGTCAATTAGTTTTCGGGTGTCTTAGAACGACATATAATTTATATAATTTTATSAATCGAYTYATTAGTTACTGAGATTATAWWTTACATAATACAATATTTTACCTCTTTATAATGTTGTATAGATTATTGYATACAATGTTAAGRATAMATACATTTTACAGATGTTCAGTAGCAACCTCGTTTTTTAATATTTGTTAGTTTTCTGCAGTGGTTCAACTGTTATTGATTGTGATAATGCTATGAAATGTGCTAGCGAAGAACATATTTTTACAATATACATATTCGTTAAACGCTTTTAATAATCACTGTAACATGAAACGAATCTACACGGTACACTGGCACTATATCGACTGAAACATTAGTGAAAATTAGTTTTTTTCATTATATCAAATTAATATTAGTCCGTTATAGCCAGTAATGTACCATTCATTAGTCATAGATTAATTAAATCATTGTATATGTGCGTAAATTATTATTAATAAGGAAAGGTGTTGAGATAAGGTAAAACGATTAAACCAAGTTTAACGACGACGAATCATTCATCGATATGCCTGAAAAGTGAAAAGAAGTTATTTATCATTGCACAGACGTATTCAAACAAGTAACAACAATAATAATATTGTTGAATGATTATAGCTTCATAACTGGATGACTATAATAACGTGTTCAGGATTATTTCAGTATATTATAGCCTATGAGAGTATAGGACACGTGTGTATAATAAATCTATGAATTATAAAATATGTTTTCGTTAATAAGTACTTCACCATAACCATACATTTTAAAAATAAAAATAAAAACCATACTAAAAATCGGTGAGAAACAAAAAACGTGTATTTAGCCAAAAATCATAAAATTTGTGTTGAAAAAACTAAAATAAATCTAAGACAATATACTCAAAGACAATATACTTAAAGACGNTACCTCGCTTTATAAACTAATCGACCGAGATGGATATCCGTCTATACGTCTATGAATGCTTTGCATATTTTTGAACGTGATTGAAACTGCTCTCGAAATGTTCCAAAAATCCCTAAAATCAATCTTTGAACATCTTGTCGAAATTGGTCAATTAGTTTTCGGGTGTCTTAGAACGACATATAATTTATATAATTTTATGAATCGACTCATTAGTTACTGAGATTATATTTTACATAATACAATATTTTACCTCTTTATAATGTTGTATAGATTATTGTATACAATGTTAAGGATAAATACATTTTACAGATGTTCAGTAGCAACCTCGTTTTTTAATATTTGTTAGTTTTCTGCAGTGGTTCAACTGTTATTGATTGTGATAATGCTATGAAATGTGCAAGCGAAGAACATATTTTTACAATATACATATTCGTTAAACGCTTTTAATAATCACTGTAACATGAAACGAATCTACACGGTACACTGACACTATATCGACTGAAACATTAGTGAACATTAGTTTTTTTCATTATATCAAATTAATATTAGTCCGTTATAGCCAGTAATGTACCATTCATTAGTCATAGGTTAATTAAATCATTGTATATGTGCGTAAATTATTATTAATAAGGAAAGGTGTTGAGATAAGGTAAAACGATTAAACCAAGTTTAACGACGACGAATCATTCATCGATATGCCTGAAAAGTGAAAAGAAGTTATTTATCATT